GATCGCCCCAGAGGCTCACCCTCCAGAACTCGAACGAGATTCGCAATTTTCTGCATCTCACGGGAGAGTTCTGGCTGACGCCGCTCGAGCCAGAATGGGTGCAGGCGCCGATGGAGACAGGCAGGGAGTACGGGCGGAAAGTAAAGCAGCTGGGCAAGGGGCACGGCCTCGGCCCACCGCATGGCCAGGTGGCGGCGAGCTTAGTCGAGGAGATCGTGGCGGTGCTCGATTCGGAGGAGCAGAAGTTAGACGCGTCCCTCCTCCACGTGAGACAGCTCCTGAAGGAGTTCATGAGCCAGCTCGACGAGCCCTGGGGACCAATCTTCATCACGGAGGTCTTCGTGCAGTGCAAGATCCAGGAGGCATACAACAAGACGGGCGAGGACGTGGAGATGGACATCAAACAGTGCAAGGCCAAGCTCATCTACACGATCAACACGGCGCCGAGCTTCAGGGCCGTGCTGCACGACCAGAAGCTGGAGCAGGAGCAGTACGACAAGATCGCGGGCTTCAAGGGGGACATATTCAAGCAGGCCCTGGGCCACGCGCTGGCGCACCTCGGGGCCACGAAGAGCCGCTCAGGAGGCCCGAAGACGGGCCTGGAGAGGGCAGTGGAGGCGCAGCTCAACAGGAGGTGAGCCAAGGCACACCCCAGCCAATGCCCAGCAGCTCGCCCCGCCGCGAGCGAGAGAGCCCCGCGGGCCAGCTCCCGCCAGGCCCGCAGCCCAGCGGAGCCAGCAGCTCGTTGTCGAGCAGCGCCATCGAACCACGCCTCAACTCAATGGGGCGCCCTCGTGCCTGGCCACCATCATCACCGCCAGTGAGCCGAGAGGAAAAAAATGCACAGCAGATTAGTGCAGACCTTGTTCGTATGACGAGTCTCAGAAGCCAGGCCGAACAACACGGAGGCCAGATGGCATACCTATATCGGATGGCTACGTACTATCGGGACCTACGACCAAGGGACTATTACCAGCCTATGGCAAAAAAATGAGGGGGACGGCGGACTTTCTAATTATGCAGCCGTCACCCTACAATTACACGGGCTCCCACTACCTACGCCCCCTCCCCCCACCAACTCCCACTGCCCAACCTACCATCTCTTCCTCAGGCAATCAGCTCTCTACTAGTGCCACTCACATTCGGGGTTTGTCTGTCATACAGTATCGCTGATGCACGCTCGAAGCCGACGTAACTGCGACCTCGTAACGGACAGTATACAGAACGACAGTACATGCTACAGGGTACACATCGCGTACTATGACAGCATACACAGGGAACTACCACACCACAGCACCCAGCACAGCCATGCGATTGTGATCCGACCACGGTTCGACCTCTCCTCTCCCGCTCAGATACATCCAGCTCTTGCCCGCTTTAGCTATCACAACTGTTACCTCTCTCGACCTCCAGAGGATAGAGTGAGTAAGAGTCGCACACTAAGGAAAGGCACAGGATTCCGACAGCAGCAAACAATTGTGCCTACGCCTACTCTCACATCAAGGTCCTACTACGGTTCCTTACGGCCCAACCACTGGGAACTAAGGAAACTACTACAATACCTAAGGTGTACAACAGTAGGCGGGAACCACTAAGGTAAACGAGGATCGGTACACAGCCCGACATACTACCAGAGGACATTTGCGACTCGAGCATCTTCGCGGCTTCCCTATCCAGTGCTGGCGGACACTCCGCCTACATCCAGAGCCAGCGCCCAGAGGACGCACGACCAGAGCAGCGATGGCGGCGCAGGCGCACACGGAGAAGGTGGAGATGGCGCAGCAGCCTGCTGCAGAATATCATCTGCAGCCGACGATAGTGCAGAAGCCGCACGACAGAGGAGGCATGGGAGGAGTGGCGGACCAAGTGGCGGGCACGGCGGCGTACAGGCTCGAGATCGCGCACAACACACTCCAGAGCACCGCCGTCGCGTTCAAGGTGGCGACCGAGCACTGCAAGAAGGCCCTCCACGCGCTCCACAAGCAGCGGGAGAAGGTGGTGACCACCCTAGGCCGCATGAACGCGAAGAGCCTCAACCCATACGAAGAAGCGGAGCGCAGCCAAGCGAAGCTCTACCTCAAGGAGCAGCTCCACGACATCAACTGCGCCATCAGTTCGATGAGGAGCGCCATCGGCATCACCGACGACAAGATGGGCAAGACCATGCACGGGCCGATGCCATGGGAGCTGGACTTCACGAGGCGCCAGGCCGACGAGATCGACAACATATACACGCGCTGGACGAAGGGCCCGCACGGCTACGCTTACGACGAGGCTTTCTTCGCTTGCGACATGCAGACGGAGCCGATGGTGGAGCCGCAGATGGAGATCAAGGACTACCTCCAGCCCGCTCGCAGGCCGCCGTGCACCAACCCGAGCAAGAGCATCGAGGGCTGGGAGAACCGTGGCAAGGTTCTGAGCAGTGAGGCCAGCTCGAGCACCCCAGCCGCCGCCTCCGCAGTCACTAAGGCCGACGGCTCCGCTCAGAGCAGGGACGTCAGGCTTTCTTCGCCAAGGGCGGCAGCGGCAGCAGGCTGGGGCATAGGGCAGCAGCAGCAGTAGAGAGCAGACTGCACTAGGCCTGGCCTCCCCTTTTTTTTTTCTCTCCCCACTACCGCCACAGAGGGGGGGCTCGGCAGCAAGCACTCACCGCGTGAGCCAGTGCGGCCATGCACTACATAAGCCGAGGGCAGGGAGTACCAGGCCGCCTCTTCTTTTTTTTTTGCCTCTCTTTACCGTCTAGGGAGTGGGGGAGCGGGGGGGGGAGGGGGGCGGAGGTGGGCGGGCTCTCAGCGGTGAGGGGTGCGCCCAGCGAGGCAGCCCCACATCGCCTGCAACAGTCGACAGGCCGCAACCGAGGCAGGGTCTCCCTGCTAGCGAGGCTCGGGGACCACGTCCAACAGAAGGACGGGCCCCGTCGCCTCAGGCGGCCCCCCCAAAGCTAGGGTGGGCTCGCATCCATATGTTCCCCAGGGGTCAACAAGCCTTTTTCGGTAGGCGGCGAGACCAGACCCCCAAGGGCCTTATCCTATCCTCCTCCTCCTCCTCCTCCTCTTCCTCCTCCTCCTCCTCCTCCTCCTCCTCCTCCTCCTCCTCCTCCGCCTCCGCCTCCTCCTCCGCCTCCGCCTCCGCTGGCGAGCGAGCGTGAGCCTGCCTTGAGCTTGACGTACTGGATGCACGCACGCGCGGCGCTATGGCGCCGCGCGGCGCATTGGGTTTGGCCAGAAAGTGATACGCGTTCCTTGGGAGCGCCCCCGATGCCCCCTGCCCCGGCCGAAGCACTTGGAGCGGGGAGGATTGGGAGAGAAAGGTGACGAGGGGTGATGGAGCAGGGAGGGACATGAGGACGACGACGATGAGGGTGGACTGGGGGTCCGAAGGAGGAGGAAGGAAGGCAGGGAGGGAGGACTGAGGGAGAGGAGGAGGAGTCTTCGAAGCATCCACACGAACACCAAGGAGGAGGACATGCGGAGACCGAGTTTGCGGACGATGGGGAGGACAGGGGGATTGGGGGACGGGGCGGGTATGAGGAGGGATTGTGCGAGCACGGCGAGCACTTGACAAGAAAGGAAGGAGGGAAATTGTGGAATGTAGAATGGGGCTTCGCAGAGGATGATGGAAGAATGACGGTGAGGATGAGGGTTTTGGATGCGAAGGGCAAAGAGGAAGAACGCCGGGAGTTTGATAGAGGAGGTCGGGCAATTTTTTGTTGTGAGCGACAGAATGTGGGACTTCATAGGGGAAGGATTCATGGCTTGAAGAGCAGGGGCGGGGGGGGGGAAACGAGGGGAAAGAACAGCAGGAGGTGGAGTCGGAGGGGGAAGGTGGCATGAATCAAGCTCGGGAGGGTGAGGAGGCGGCTGGAGAGGGAGCGGAACCGGAAGACGAGCAGCCAGAGGAGGCAGGAGCCTTGGAGGAAGGGCGCGGGGATGACTAGGCAGGAAGCGGGGGCAGATCATGAGTTTTTGGACGTCTCGTGCGGAGCTAGGCGGGCGGCGGGAGGAGAGGAGAGAGGAAGGCAGGCAGGGCGTTCGGGCTGGATTGGGCGAGGGAGGAGAGCACGTGGGTGGTTGTCTGGGTGGTGCCTGTTCGGCGTGCGACGGGCCGTCTCCACTCGTTTCTGCCTCTGGCGAGCTGCTTCTGGCACCAGACGAGTGCTCCTGTGTTCCTTACAGTCTCGGGGGAGCGTAAGACCCGGGTTTGCCAGGACTCGGGTTCGCCATCGTTTTTTGACGACCGCGCCTCGGATTTTGACGAGGAGGAGTTTCGTGGGACGTCTGCAGCGGGAGGCCTCGTCAAAATGCAGGCTCGGCCTCGTCATTTTTTTGACGACCTCGTCGAGGATTTCCGAGTCCCCTGTACCCGGGTCTTACGTCCCCTTGACAGTCGCTCTGGCAAGGCAGCGTGTTGCCACCGTGAGGCAATCATGATTGAAGGTGGTGCTCACAGATATGCACTACACGTCCGAGCATGAGCCGCAGAAGCAAGACGAAGAGGAGGATGCGAGTATGAGCAGCTGGTTTAATGCAGGGCTTGGAGGAGGAGGACACGTAGACGAGGAGGCAGCAGGATTGGGAGGAAGCGGAGCGGAGTTATGAAGGGGGGGGTGAGGCGAGGGGGGAGAATTACCGAGGTTGACCGGCAGCGCCTGCGGTAATGGCGATCGGTGGTGCATTCGGCCGCATGGAACACAAACATATGGATTGCTTCGGGAGGGGAGGGGAGAGCGGGGAGAGGGAAAGCGCCCCCTTCTATACCCCTGCACTCGCTTTCTCCTGGGCACGTACAGGCCTCCTTCCTTGCTGGCAGAACTCCTATGTCTCTCTCTTCTCCTCCACTGCATCCCCCATGTCCCCCTACTCCCCGGTTCGAAGTTCATCCGGCAGAGGAGGAGGAGGAATAGGTGGTTGTGGAGGAGGAGGAGGAGGAGGAGGAGGAGGAGGTTGAGGAGGGAAGCTCTCTGCCCGTTTTCCCAACATGTTACACACCCGCTCCCCCAGGCTGCGGACAATACGTCCTTGCCGCCGACTCCCCGAGAGGACCGAGACGGGACGGGCGACCGTGTGTGAATTGTGAGAGATGGCGTGGCGAGGCAGAAGCATGGAGGGCAGGAACCCCATCCACCCCCACGTGCATCTCACTTTGAACTGCTTCATCCGCGACGAGGGCTTGGCCAGGGCAGGGAAAAGTAGGAAGGATGAGGGAGGGAGAGAGGGTAGGAGGCGACGGGGGGGAAGGCGAAGGGAGGAGTGGAAGAGGGCAATGGGAAGCATGGAGGGCGGGGGCGGGGAGCGAGGGAGGATGCGGGGATATGGAAGGGAAGCGTGAAGCCAGATGGAGGAGGACATCAGGGAAAAGAGGGCATGAGAGAGGAGGGGGAGGAGGAGGACGAAGCACGGAAGGGCAGATGACCAAACTCATTCGAACATCAGGATCCAATTGACATGCTTCGTCCGCCTACACGAGATTCGAACAGTTCGTTGTCGCCAAGCGCATAAGCAACATGGTCGCCAAGCGCACCATCGTGAGAATTGGTTGACCTAGCAATGCCCATTCCAGAATGAACCATGCAGCAGCCATTTTAACGCGTGAGCTAACTTAAGGGGGTTTGGAGCGACCAGTGGTCTCTACAGTGCCAGCAGAGAGCGCGGTCGGCTGTTGTGAGAGAGTGTCTGTGGTTGCTGCTTCCACCGCGCTCTCTTAAATGTGAGGGGGGGGGCGCGATTGGCTGTTGAGGGTTGCAACTGGCGGAAACAATTTCTCATGTCAAGGGCGCGCGTCGTAGATAAAGATGTGCTATATGTGCTGAGTTACGCTGCCATCCAGACGCGTTGTCGGCACGGCTGTGCGCGGCACCTTCTCCAGATCTTGAAAAGCCGGTATGGCACGGCCGTTTTTTCTTGCTGTCGGAAAACCAGGCATTGCACGGCACGACACGGCAATGTTTGCTTCGCATTCTGACAAAACAAAAAGGACGGCACGGCTCAGCGCGGGATGTGTTTCTTGTTGAAAAACCCGGTACCGTACGGCACGGCAGATGTCCGCATTCCATAAATTAGGCGCAGCCCTGCACGGCACGGACAGTGTTGTCGCATTCCGAAAACCAGGCACGGCGTGGCACGACACGGCAACGTCTCTGCATTCTGCAGACAAGGCACGGCATGGCACGGCAAGTTTTGCCGCAGTCGGGACATCAAGCCCGGCAGCGCTCGGCACGGCAATTTGTTTTTCCGCATTAGGAGAGACGGGCGCGACACGCAACAATTCCCGCACTCCCAGTGCCGCGCACGGCGCGGCACGACAATGTTTTGCCGCATCCTGGAAACATTTCACGGCATGGCAGGCACGCCATGGCACGGCACAGTTGCTGTTCGGCGTCTGAGAACCAGGCTCGGTACGGCAAAGTATGGCCTTTGTGTTTTTTACAGCGGCTCGCAGAAAATGCGAAGCACGTGCTCAAAGCAATACGTGTGCTTTGCAGTATTTGTTCTTTGGGCGACGACAAGGCAGAACAATAGTACATGGGGGCGCAGAGCCACGGTAAGAGAGGATTAGGGAAACGAGGGGGTGAGCGACATTGGACCCAGTCGTGGCGTCAGCTCACGAGCATTAGAAGGGGAAGCCCCGACATCTGGCTACTCGAAACACTAGCGATTGCCGCTTAGGAAGCCATGTGATTGTCAAAACTCGGATCCGAGTGAACAGTCGTCCACCATGTCTCGAAGAGACCGAGCCGTTGAATGTTTTGGCGGCAGGAGGGGCAAGAGTCGGCGCCCAAAGGCATGAGCATGCTGCCACGGCATGAGCATGCTAGCCAGGGTCTGGCGGTCATAACCAGGAAAGACAGGAGGAGGTTGACAGGTCATGTCGATTGCCAGTTCAGCCGATCTGTCAGGGTGATAGGTTCCGACAGGTCACCAAGACACGAGCGCCAGTAAGAGTCCTCGCAGACTAGCTGTGGCAGAGAACGATTTCGTTTCACATATATTATCACCGAGCTCATAAGGGCGCCGCGGGAGATGCCGGCCTTGATCCATCATCTCTGGGTTGCTGGAGCGGGCAGATTGAGTGATCGCGCCGGAGCTTTGGCTCTCTGCCAGTCTTGAGGGCCGGTGGTGCCCGGAAACCTTGCGTTCCCGGCTTAGGCTTCCCCGAACGCCGCCCGCGTCGATGTGTTGTGCTCGCACGGATGTCGTCTTGCCGGGCAGGTGGGGCTCGAGGAGGTCTGCGCAGGTGGCCTGAGGCCTCGGGTGATCCTGTCTCCGAGGGCTGCGGAGGCCGAAGCATATAGGTCAAAAGACCGCAGGAACGGGAGGAACCCACTTCTCTTGTTCGCGATGACGTGCGTGACCGGCCCCACCTGCTCTCCCCTTGGTCCCTCCCCTGGTCACGTCCCGACTCGCGCCGGCGCCGTCTGGGAATGAGTAATTCCGGGAGGCGCCAGCACGAATCTTGACGTGACATGCCCCGTCCCCTTCTCCCGCCCACCCCGTGCACGCCCGTTTATCGACGGGGGATGAAATAGCGGTCTCGAGGAGGGATGGATAAAACGATCTTGAGTTGTCTTTTCTGCAAGTCATCGCCTTAGGCTCAATGGCCAGGAGCCGACCAGAAAGGCCTGGGGCGTCGGGGCCTCCACAGGCCCTGGCGTCAGGGCTCTGGGCGCCAGGTCCAAGCCGAATTTGCGGTGGGAAGGCGAGGCCTTCTTGCTTTCACGTCCTCCAACCGTCCGTCCTTTCTACCTCCTATGCCTCCTCCTCCTCCTCATTATTGTCTTCCCTCCTTCTCTCTTCTCTATCCTTCTCCCTCCCCGATCCTCCCCCTCATCTTCGTTCCTCATCATCATCCTGTTCGTCGTTGCCATCCCATCCTCGGGCGCTCTCAGAGATGCCCACGGGCTATCTCAGAGTGGGATCGCATTGGCAGCAGCGGGTCCTCCCCCTGCCAGGACCTCGACCGCAGGGTGTATGACCTGGATGCCCTAGCGGAGATCATCTCAAGGCTTGGGGGGATCTGGGAAGCGCCGGCTCTGGCCTAACAACCTCGGGCCAGTTGATTGGATAAGGTTGTTGAGAACCGTGGATATCATCTGTTGCGACACTGAGCTCAGCCTGTCGCTGCATCTGGTGTCCTTGGCTCCAAGGTCAACTAGTCCATAGAGCGGGACATGGTATCCAGATTCCGCGCCTCATGGATCGCCATTCTCAGCCCACAGCATAGGCATGGGCACATACGGCACATCATCATGCTGCCTCTTTTGGTCAAACGCATTGTCCACACAGCACTTGTCCTCTGTGGAACGCTTTGGTTCGGATGCTTCCAGTGCGCGTGGGGCAACGGCGCGATGACAACATATTGCGCTTGATGCATCGGCCCTTTTCGTCAGGATTAGTTTTGTAAGTCAGCGAGGGGCCTTCAATCCAATACGATAACCGTTCCCGATTTTGTTCAATCTCATAACCGAATCTGGCACGCTGAGAGTCGCGAGCGGGACAACGTTCCGAAATCTAGATGCACGCGGTCAGAGTAGCGAAACCTTTTAAACATCCAGACGTGTGGAAATAATCACGCATCTGCGAAACCTGCGTATGGAAAGATGTCGCTACCAAGTGTTGTCCTACAACCCTCGGATGGAGAGATTTAGTCCGTCCCCCCCCCGGCCCACAGCCCCGAACCAAAGTTTGTCAGAGGATGTTCGCTCGGCGGTCACTCCCGCCAGGGTTGGGATAGTGGCAGGGGGACCATGGACAATGTGATCCCAGCGTGACTTAGCAACGATCCCAAGAAAATCACATACATCCATGCCTGCTTCCGTTCAGATTCAGTTGTTTGTTTCGGGAGGGTCGTAGTCTACCCTTGCCATGCTTATTCTTTGTAGTAGGACCCCATCCTTCCCAACTCGTCCATGCATCTGCTGATGTTGTAGCAGACAGCTTGCCTGATATCATGTAACGACGCCAGACCGGTGATTCCATCAGAAAGGACAAGCGACGCCCCATGTGAAAATAAGTCACCAGACATCCCTCTTAGGATGGCTGCGTTTTGCCCAGGAGGCCTTAGCGGGAAGCGCGAGTGGTAGAATAAGGACGGAGGGAACACTTGCAACCAGCTTGAGCGCAGTTATTTGATGGCTGGTCTTGGACACTCGTTAGGACGGATGAATGGGGCGGTCGCAGCAACTGGGGGACCCACATCGGTTGTCCGTGTTTGTCCGTGTTTTCGGTTTGAGAGGACACGGTGTGTGGTTCAAAAGTTCAAAACTTGCGGGGGGTATGGCTGTCGTGGCGCCGGGGGCGCGCGCATGTCTGTGTGTTACCGCTTGAACGCGTCTGTGCATATGATTACGCGTCCGTCGGCCGTGCCCTTCCTCCCCTTGTTCGCTGCACTGTCGTTGCTGTCGCCTGAATTTGTCCCTCTCGACCCCCCCGTCCTCGTCTTACCTCTCGTCCCTGCCCCCTCGCCTTCCCTTCTCGCCTCACCCGCCGCCTTGCCTCCGGACTGCACAGTGCTGTTCTCGCAGTTGTCATTCCAGCGTCAGGGTTCCTGTGGCGCAGGCAGGCAAGCATCTGCTTGGTCGCCCCGCACACGTGTGCGCGAATAACGTAGGTTTGCGCGTCAGTGTGTGAATGTGTATCTGTCTTGTGGGTGTGGGGGCTCTCGAGTAAGCGCATTGGGCTGTTGCCTGTGTGAGTGAGAGAGGGAGAGAGGGGGAGAGAGAGGCGCACATGAGAGAGAGGGAGAGAGAGAGAGAGGGAAAGACAGAGGCAGAGGCAGAGGGAGAGGGAGACAGGGAGAGAGAACGATAGTGGGTGAGCGAATCGGTGCATGGTCTGGCGAGTGGGTCAGGGTGCAAGCAGGGGAAAGGGTGAAATGGTGTGTTCCTCATGTGGGAGCTTTGCGCTCGACGGGTGTGCGCCCATGCTGTTCGTTCGCATTATCCAGTGCGAGGCGTTGTGGACAGCAAGCTTCGCCAGTTTGCACATGACGTGGTGAGGCCCACCACGGGGCCGACAGACCAGCCAATATGTTTTGCATTGGTTCAGAGAGCGCAGTCGTATAATGGGCTCCAGAAGCTCGCATCCCGTCGCTGCCCATGCGGTCGAGATCATGAGCGCGGATGCCGAGTCATGCTGCCGCTCGGTGGGCGCGGGGCGGGATCGGGTGTTGTTCCCCGAAGATGGGTTTGCATTGGTTTTTGTGCGTATGCGTTGTGGTCAGAAAGTAAGTTGTAGATGTGTGCATCTATAATCTATACCTAGATATGTATGTCGGCTGTGCCCATTGCGGAACGACTCCCCCCGGGGATTCATGAACCCTCCCAGGAAGCACCGCCGGGACCGCCGGTGATGGCCGGGACGAAACCTTCTCGGATGCACGCAATCTCCCAGGACGCACCGCTGGTGCGGCCTGGTACTAACCCCCCCGGGATGCCCAGAGCGTGTGGGAGCCCCCAGGGAGCGCCTGCGAGTGTCCAGGGTGTTCGGGAGCGCTGGAGGGCGCTCTTCGACGCCTGCGACATCGGCGGCGGCTGCGTCGGCAGCGGCGACGGCGGCGGCGTCGGCGGTATCGGCGGCTGCTGCGAATGCGACGTCGACGACGACGACGACCACGACGACCACGAGGACGACGGCGACGACGACGACGGCGACGACGACGACGACGACGACGACGACGACGACGACGACTGCGACGACGACGACGACGACGACGACGATGGCGGCGGCGGCGTCGACGACGACGACTGACGACGACGACGCGACGACAACGACGACGACGGCGGCGACGACGACGACGACGATGACGACGACGACGACATGACGGCGGCGTCACGACGACGTCACGGCGACGCGACGACGACGTCACGGCGTGTGACGACGACGCGACGACGCTTTGACGACCGCTTGACGACGATGCGACGACGACGCGACAATGACGTGACAGCGTGACGACGTGATGACATGGCGACGACGTGACGACGACGCGACGACAACGAGACGACGACGCCGACGCCGACGACGACGACAGTCTCGAAGAAGACGACGGCGGCGTCGGCGTCGACGACGACGGACGACAACGGACGACGACGGACGACGACGAACGACGCGACGACGAACGACGACGTCAACGACGACGGCAACGAGGACGACGGACGAGGACGACGACGACGACAACATCCATGCAGAGATCTCCAGAGGGCTCTGGAGGTTTCAGGATGTCCCTGGAGATCTCCCCAGGTTTCCCTCCACACCTCCTATCGGATGCCTCCGCATCGCGCTCCTTGGCGCTCCTCTGCACTCTCCCTGACCCCTCCCCCGCTTCCACAAGAGACCCCTACCCCACTACCCTAGGGGGGGGGCGGGGAGCGCCAGTGCGCTCGGTACGAACCTCCCCCCGGGACGGGGGGAGATGGGGGGGGCCGTGTCGCGACCCACCCCGCGACCCAACCCGCGACCCACCCGCGACCCACCTCGCGACCCACCCGCGACCCACCCGCAACCCACCCGCGACCCACCCGCGACCCACCCGCGACCCACCCGCAACCGACCCGCGACCCACCCGCGACCCACCCGCGACCCAGCCGCGACCCACCCGCGACCCACCCGCGACCCAACGGCGACCCAACGGCGACCCACCAGCGACCCACCCGCGACCCAACGAAATCCACCCGCGACCCACCCGCGACCCACCCGCGACCCGCCCGCGACCCATTTACGAGTCACCCGCGACCCACTCGCGACATACCCACATTGGTTTAACGGAAAAATCGGCACCTGCGGCGGGCTCGTTGTTTAATGTGTGAAATTTTGGCGCCTGCGGCGGGCTTCTCCACAGTCTCGCAAACTGCCGACGTCCCCACCGCCCCCTCACTCTTATCCGCATCTGCGGGGTGCTACGTATGTATTTTCATCGACGTATGCGTATAGAGAGAGCGAGGGATGGAGGGAGAGTGAGAGAGAGAGAGAGATAAAAGAGAGAGAGAGAGAGGGCAGAGAGAGAGAGAGAGGAAGAAAGCTTATTGGACGAGGGTGAGGGGCAGACAGCCTTGAACACCTCGGCCGCGCCATCGCACGCCGTGCCCGGTGCCCGTGGGAGTGTGCCCGCCCGCTTCCCGCCCCGCGCACGGCGCCCGCAGGCCCCTGCCCAACGGAGCCGAGCGGGGCGGCATGGCAGGCGCCGCCGCCTCCGTGGGCCCCCCGCTCCTCCCTCGCGTTCTCCTTCGGCGGCGCGCGCCTCCTCGGGAGGCTCAGACGGCCCCTGGGCCCACTGGGAAGAGTCTGGAGCCTCCTCCGGAGCCCCGCCGCCCTCCGACAAGGCCTGGCCCCTCTCACTCGCCCCCTCGGCGCGCCGCCTACTCCCAGCTCCGTGGCCTCTCTGGCTCCTCTTGCCCGCTGTTGCCCCCTCCTGTCGTTCCCCACTGGTCGTCGTTCCCTCGCTGGGTCGTGGCCAGTTCTATGGCGAGCGTAGGCTTCTAGACCCCGTGCTGCGATCGAGGTGTCCCCGACTCGGCCGTAAGGGAGGGGGCCTCCGCTTGTTCTGCCACGGATGAGGACACAGTGCCCTGTCCCGCCCTGCGTCCACCCGCCTGCGCATGATGCGATGGACTGGACACGTGCAGATCCGCCACCGCGGCCTCGTCCTCCTCCTCCTCCTCCTTGCCTGAGCGTTGCGGGTATCAGCGTCGGTGTGCCCGACGCTACAGTGCCCCACTTGGTGTCGTCTGGCACGAGGTGGACAGCCTTGAAAGTAGCCCTTGGCGTGGACACGGGCACGGAAGAAACGACAGTGGCCGGCGGAACGAACGACAGTGGACGGGGGAAGGCGACGAGGCGAGGGACCCCCCAGGAGAGGAAAGAAGACGAGGCGGGGGACCAGGGGCACCCCTTCACCTTGGAATCCCCCAAAAGCTCCCCCAGGAGGGCAGGAGAGGAGGGGAGGGGGCAGAGAGGGGCGGACGAAGCATGGGGGAGGTAGCAATGGGGGGCCGTGGTACGGGACTCCGAGGGGGAGGAAGTACAGTCGACACCGATGGTAGGGATGAGCGATTTTCCAATGTTTCCCTTGCATCCCTTCCCTTCGGCCCATCCTAGGCCACTTTCGTTGGCCGCGCCCCGCTCAAAAAGTGTCGGCATGGCCTTCCAAGGCCCTTGCACCCTCATAGTGCATCCTGACTGTCAGTTTTGACTGTAGTCTGTGTCGCCGTGCTGCTGTTGCGCTCCCTCCTTCTGCTCCCAGGCGATCCCCGCTGCGAGCGGCGCGCGGCAAGGCAGGGCTGCCGCGGACCACGCGTCGGTCTGCCCAAGAGGGGGCAGTAAAGTGCCCGTCGTCCGTGATGCTGCCTCGGCTCTGCGTGTTGCTGCCGGTGAGCATGGCTCGGCACGAACGACATGGGTAGGGAAAGAATAGGTACGAAGACCGGCGTCGATTCTTCTGCTTATTCAATGGGACTCGCTGTTGGTGTCGCCGCGGACGTGGTCCATTTGAAACTGACAGCCGCCTGCCCAAGAGCGGCCTCTTTCGGTTTTGAACAGCATTTGCTGTTGGGCACCGTACCCATTCTTCCCTTATTCATTTTGGGCGTCCAAAACAGCGGTGGCCAGGTGGGCTTCGGCTTAGGTTCGAGGAAGAACCATAGATTGTGTGAGCTCCGCGCGGCTGTCTCGGATAGGCACCTGGGACCTCTTGGGGGCGCTTCCCGCGCCTCCCCTGGCGAGCTCTGCGCGCCAGGGAGAGGGGTCCAGCGGCGATGCAAGAAATCCGCACGGACCTCCCAAAGTGTATGCTTATGCAGTTTGTTTTTCCTCTATGGGTGGAGGCTGGTGCGTGCTTAAGAGAATGTGTGCCCAGGAGGAGGTGCGGTATGCTGGTAGCTCCTGCGTGCCATTCATCATCTCGCAGGTTGCTCGCAGGTCGGGCTTAAAACCAATCTGTCGGACGAGCACGCCAAGCTTCTCCAACGTGACTGTGGGCAAAACTTGCGTCCATATCCACTGCAGCTCGGAGTTTCGGGTTCTCTTCTCTAGAAGCCCGAGGCGCACTGGATATAGACAAACAAATCTGGCCCCTACAGGCCTGATGCTTATCCAGATCCAGTGCGCTTGGCCTGTAGGCCCCCCATTTCAAGAACGACCACGACGCACTGGATATATATATATATATATATATATATATATATATATATATATACATATATATATATAATATATATATCCAAACTGCCCACATCGGACTCCTGCACCGGCGGATCCGCTGCTGTCGCGTGAGCCATGACCTCCCCGGCCATTTTGGCGGCCCGCCGTCGCATTTGCCCTTTCGTGCTCCTGGGCTCCTCGGCGGTCGCCGCCTCCCTGTCGCGTTTCTCGGCGGGCTGGTCGGCTTGGCGTTCGCGGGGCTCCTCGACTTGCCGGTCGACTTGCCGTCAGCACCGCAGCCTGCTCTGCGACCGAGTCGACCAGGCTCGAAGACCTGTGCGAAAACATGGCTGTCCTCTTCACAGTCGTTCGTTCGTGCGCAGCCGCGTTCGTTCGCTGGTCCCCCGCGGCTGGTCTCTCTTCCCCTTGGCCTCTCAAATGGGGTCCGAGTAGATGGGGCCGGAGGATCGCGCCGCATCGCCGATGCATCGCCGCTGCGGCTCGGGGCGAAGCCCGACCTTCGTCGCGCCGAGGGCGCCGAGGCATCGCCGACGACGCCGATGCATCGCCGATGCATCGACAATGCGGTGAGACCCTCCGACCCCGTCTGCTCCGGCGCCATTTGGGAGGCCTCTACAGGAGGCCCGGATTAGTAGGTCGACCTTGCCAGATCAAGGGTACCCTCGTGTCCTGAGTCTTGCGACCCATGCCTCTTGCATTTCTGTGGCAACGTGGCCCCCGAAAGGGTCTTATGTCCTCTCGCGTGTCCTCTCCAATCAAGTCCGACTGCACCCCCTCTGCTCACGGGAGCTCGCAGGTGGCCCCGAGTGGCGCCCCGCGTGCCCAGCTGCGGGTCGTGCCGCCCTGCCGATGGGCGCGCCGTCTGCTCTCCGCATCGCCTTCGGGGCCGCCGCCTCGCTGTTGCACATTCCACGACTGCCTGTTCCTCCTCCTCCTCCTCCTCCTCCTCCTCCTCCTCCTCCTCCTCCTTCCTCCCTCTTCCTCCCTCCTCCTCCTCCTCCTCCCTCTTCCTGCTCCTCCTCCTCCTCCTCCTCCTCCTCCTCCTCCTCCTCCTCCTCCTCCTCCTCCTCCTCCTCCTCCCTCTTTCTCCTCCTCCCTCTTCCTCCTCCTCCTCTCTTTCGACACTGTGTGTGCGTCCGTTTCCGCACCCTTGGTGAGGAAGAACACGGTTTTCAAGTGCAACCGGCATTCGCGTCACGACGGCGGTCGTTGAAGCATGCGTTCACACCTAGTAGTTCATCTTGCGGCCGTGGTGTTCTTGGTTGTGCCTCCTCTTCCTCCTCCTCATCAGTTCCCCCCCCCCGCCTTCTCATGGGAGGACGTGTCCGATGTTTCCGAGCCCCCAGCTGATGAAGAGTAGGCTCCAAATGTGTCTTTGCCGTGAGCGGGTCTGACTGATCCCGTCCAGTCATCCACTCATGCTCCCTCCTCCTCTTTCCTTACTTGGCCCTGGAAGCGGCAGGGCCGTTATTTCTATGGCAGTGGCTCTGGCAGTTGTCTGCTTCTTCTCAGGGTTTTCGTGAAGCTGCCTCTTGGCAGTGTCAGCTGGACAAAAAACGGTCGACCGAAACGGCTAGCAGACAACAATTCACCGAAGCGGCCTGGTCAGGCCAGTCATCCGAAGGACGTTCGCAACCAGTTCGAAACCGAATCGGATCGGGCAATTCAGGACCAGGTCCCCACCAGGGGTACCGACAACGGTAAAAGGACGGCGCTGGAAACGTAAAAAAAGTCGCCTGAACAGCAACAACAAATGACAGCTAAACCGATCAATATGGCCCTGTCGTTTCTGGGGCACGCTACGGTCTCAACCCGCCCCTCCCCGTTCGCCTCCCTCCTCGGTCTTCAAGCAGAACGCACTTTGCGATCTGCGCGTCCTCTTCGTTCTGGTTGGTCGTGCTCTGCGTCCACGTTCAAACGTCGAGGTGCGTTTGATTCGAGGATCCAGTCTCGATTCTCCCGATCGATCGACACTCGACCCACGTTTTGGCGGATGCTTCGTGCAATTCCTACGTGTTACTCTACGTGCTGACCTCCGTATCAGTACGCTACGTGTTGTGTGTTGCGTATCGGGGAAGCTAATTCGAGGATCGATGCCTCCCTCCCCTTCCCGATTCCTGATCGTCGATCCTCCGAGGACACCCGTGGGGGCGCGAAGACATGACCGCGTTTCGCGCTGCACGTTCTGGGCCAGGGCGGCTGCCCGTCTCCAAGACGGCGGCGCGGGGGCGCTAATATCGCGCGCTGCGCACCGCGAGGCGCGAGGCGCGATGATGGGGGACCTCCCGATCGCTTCGGCACGGCTCGGACCTGCGCGTTGTGCCGGCGAGGGCCATCGAGGAGCATCCTGGATCATGTGATCGATGGCAAGCTCCCGATCGCGCGCGGCGGTCGCGCAGGCGCGGGCGGGCCCTTCACCCCGACGAGGAACTCGCTCTCCCCGGCGGGCGTCGACTGGGCCTTCCACCCGGCCACGAGGGAGGCCGCGGCCCGGCGGCCCGTCTGGTCGCTCTCCTTGGGCGTCGCGCGCTGGGGGGGGGAGGGAGCGATACACGGGGGGCAGCGAGGGCTGCACTGAAGGGGCCCTGGGTCGGCCGGATGGCGATGGGGGGATCAGGACATGGGGGGATGAGTATCCGGTACCGTGTTGTTGGGGTACAAGTTGTACCTTCTCTGCGGGTTGCGAGTACAAATTTTACCTTCTCCCCCCGTTAACATCCTCGCACATGTCGCGGACGTTGTCAAAAGTACACTTTGTACCTTGTCTGCGTGGCGTCGGTACAAATTGTATCGTCTCCGTGGGGCGTAGGTGCAATTTGTACCTCGGTTGCGCCTCTCTCCCCATCTGGACTTATCCCCCCATTTGCATCCCTCCAACTGGGGCCCTGCAGGGCCTACAGGGGAACAGGGTGCCTCTGCCCGGAACGTGCCCCTTGCGTCCCTCTGAATCGACCGCCCTCCCGTACTAAGCGGCGCCCAACATCTTGAGGGGGGCAGTTCGCCGGGGGGCACACGGGGCCTGGGGGAAACGGGTCCTGAAGTTTTTCTTTCGCCATTTTGGGCTTCCCGGGACCCTCCACGAGCCCCAGGACCGTCAGAGAACGACTCAGGATAAAGAGTTGGTCCTGGGGAAATGCCCGCAGGTCCAGGACCCGTTTTCCTCAAGACCCCCTTCCCCCCAGGCTAGGAGGAGGGCGTTGGCATGGTACCTGGTTGGTCGGAGGCCCTACCGCCATTTTCACAATAGGTTCGTGTTGTGCCGACGCAGCGGCGGCCCCGCCGCAGGCATCCAGGGTTGAACGCCACCAGTGGCCTGGAGTCCGCCCATGAGGAGCGGTCTGGCGATCAATCGGCCGCCAGCCGTTCCATGCATGCGATCTACTTGCGGTGTCAGAGGCCAACGCTGGGGTCTTCACGGCAAGAAGTAGCCGTAGGAAGAAGGACGCACCCCAGACGTTGTTCGATTGAAATGGCGCAGCTCGCCGCCCTCCTAGGTCTTTCGGGTGATGGAGAAGTGCTAGCTGCTAGATGATGATGAAACGCTGGGGGCGCTTTTTGCTCGTTTTCACGATCGGCGCTGTCCTCCCACATGCCTTCAGTCATTCTGGTCTGGACTCCTGCTGCCGCCGGGCATCCCCGATATTCCCTGGACGCCCCAGACAGGCACCCCGATCGTCTCCCAGAGCCACCCAGCAGCTCCTGAATCGTTTTCCTGCTTCCTTCTCCTCCCTCTCCTGCCTCCCTTCCATCCCCTTCCTCCCTCGCCCACGACAAAGGGGGGAGCAGGAGCAGAGGAGGGGGAAGAGGAGGAGGAGGAGGAGGAGGAGGAGGAGGAGGAGGAGGAGGAATAGGAGGAGGAGGGGGAGGAGAAGGAGGAGGAAGAGGAGGAGGAGGAGGAGGAAGAGGAGGGGCAGGAAGAGAAGGAGGAAGAGGAGGAGAAGGAGGATGAGGAAGGGGGAGGAGGGGGGATGAGGAGGAGGAGGCGGAGGAGGAAGGGGGAGGAGGGAGGAGGAGGAGGAGGAGGAGGAGGATCACGAGGACGAGGAGGAGGAGGAGGAACAGGAAGCAGGAGGAGGAAGAGGAGGAAAATGGGGGGAGGAGGAAAAAGAGGAATCGCCCTGCTGTCTGACCGCTTTAGGCGGTGCCGGCGCCTCATGTCTTTTTTCTTTTGGACGCCCTCGACGGCTAGCGCTTGCGGCGCAAACCGCGGAGTCAAAAGAGGAGGAGGAAGAGGAGGAGGAGGAAGAGGAGGAGGAGGAGGAGGAGGAGGAGGAAGAGGAGGAGGAGGAGGAAGGAGGAGGAGGAGGGAGGAGGAGGAGGAAGAGGAGGAGGAAGAGGAAGAGGAGGAGGAGGAGGAAGAGGAGGAGGAAGAGGAGGAAGGAGGAGGAGGAGGAGGAAGAGGAGGAGGAGGAAGAGGAGGAGGAGGAGGAGGAGGAGGAGGAGGAGGACAGCCATCTCGCATCAGCGAAAGGAGGCAGACGCGGAGGACCATATCAGCTCACCGACGACATGTCCAAAGCAGACCCTGAAGGGATGGCAAGGCTCCACCCCGTCGTCGTGAAGACGCAGATCGAGTGCAAGGAGCCCACCGCCGCCAAACGAGGTAATTCGACCCGTTTTCACAAAGGAGCTGGACCCATGGAGCACCACAGGTCATACCGCGAGGCACCTTGCTTAACCACACCATCGGCAATATGCACACTAGTTACCTGCGCTCACGAGTAAAAAGTCGACGCCCAGAGCTACTCCAAGCAGCGCGATGTGGGGCCAGACCCAGGATGGCGACGGACTTCGTCACACACACACACACACTTCGCTGGCCTTCGTCTCCGACTGCCAACCACGAGCCACTTCATGCAACATCACATTCCTCGATCTACGCGAGGCCTTCCACTCAGTCATCAGGGATTTCTGCATGCAACTACCAATGACCGCCTCGGAGCTGAACGACATCATAGAGCAGGCCGAGACCCCCAACTTCCTCAAACAATTTCTGCTTGACCGTCTCAGACAGCCAGCGTACAACAACCATTATATCAATGACGAGCACCTCTGCTCCATGATCGCAGAGCATCACACCACTAACTGGATGACCGCCCAGAGCGCGCCCCACTTTCAGATCCCCCGCGTTGGTATTAGACCATGGGTGCCATATTCTGACGTGGCCTTCAACGCGCATATCGCCATCATGCCTAAAGCGATCGAACAAGTTGCATCAACACCGACGGAGGACAACTATCACGCAGGAGGACGTGAGATTGAGGCATGCGGCGCTCCGCGCTTCACTGCAGCACCCCACCATTGGCTTACGCTCAGAAATATGACCTTCGCCGACGGCCTCGCCGACTACAATTCGACCGAGACGGCCAAGGCATTAGTTGACGTCACCCGGCTATCGGCCACCGGGCTGTGCACCGCAGCATGCTAGCGCGGCCTCAAACCCCGCCCAGAGAAGACCAGGGTCATCTTCATGCGCTATGGCAGCGGAGCAAGAAAATAACGCCAGAGGATCGTCAAAGAGAACTATATCGAGCTCGAAGGCTTCAACATTCATATGCAGCTGGTGACCCAACGCAAGGCCCTCGGCACCATCATCGCGGCCGGCGGGGCCGTGGGCCCCCAGGTAAGTTTTAGAGTTGCACGCGACATGGGCGGCGGGCGATTTCTCGAGAAGCAGATCCTCCGAAGAAAGATGTTTTCGCAGAAATCCAAGACGAAGTACGTCAACGCCCTGTCCACCTCATCCCTCACCTACAACCGCCACATCTGGAACCGCCCCACCAAGGAGGCCTACGATTATGTCGCAGCCAAATACATGGGACCCAACCGCGCGACCGCGCCCCCGAAGACCAGCCCGAACAGCGCATCACGATCAAAGAGGTGATCGCCAGGACTGGGGCACCCGACTTCGCCATCACCCAGGCCGCCGCGCGATTGCGGCACCTACCTCGTCTACTCCAGCGCGGACGCATTGCTCCGCGGCGGCTACATGGCGCGCAACGACAGTGCAGAGGCACTTGGAGCCTTCAGCGCCAACAAGACTTCGTCTTTCTCCGCAAGCACCTGCCGACCGACAGGCGGCCAAACCAGACAGAGCGGGACGAAGGCATAGTTTTTATGGGCGAGGGAAAGACGCGAGGAGTTCACCAGCGCAGTCAAGACGGCGACGAAGGCATGCGTCAACTACACCCGAGACCAAGCCCAGCACGAGAAGCTGATTAAAAGGCCCTAGGATGACTGCCACTGCCCAAGACGCAGCTTCGACCGACGACGCCATCTCCGTCAATTGCGCATGCCGCCTTTGCGGGGGAACCGCCAGAAAGAAGCGGGGCATGGCAGTCCACGCTGGAGGGGATCACAGGCACTGCGTGCAGAAGTTGCCAGACCGAGTTCCACACCTTCCCGCGCCTCGCCAAGAACCTGACCCTCGCGCGCAGATGCCGCAAGCCGCGGCGCGCCTGGCGGCGCGTGGCGCGGCGGCCACTCGCAGAGCAGCAGATCGTCGACAACGTCGAGGCCATCACCGCGACCACAGAGCATGCCAAATAGCAAGGACGACCTGCTACCTACTGCGAGGTACCTGCCAACAAGACGGACATCGCCCCGCTGCCCGCTGGAAACGCCACCAGCCGAGCCCGAGGTCTTCGCCGCTATCCAAGCGAACACTCAAAGGAATTTCGCCACAAGCAAACCCGAAGCGGCTCGCCGACATACGGTTAGCAGCATCACTGACAGACCGAGCTGCCCAGGCGACCTCTTGCGCATCATGGCCAGGGCAACCGCTGCGGCCACCGGCGGATTGGACTATGCAGTGGTCGAAACCAACGCTAACCAGGCGCCGCGAGCGAGCCGCGCGCAACTAGGACAAGTTCGAGGCCTCATATCAGACGGCAAGATCGCGGCCATCTAGGCAGACATCCCCAAACGAACCTGGTACGCACGCGACCTCAGCGATTCAGCATCGCGCAGAGCCACGAGACACCGCGCGACATCGGCACCCTGGGGAGGAGCCGACCTCTCCGAGAGGAACGTCAAGCTAATGGACGCACCCAATACCATCGCCAGGGAAGTGCTGGCCCTTCTCTTCTCCGCGGCCGAGTCCGACGCCCCGACGATCGCCGTCTACAAAGATCTGCAAGCACTCACGGCCGAAGGCTTCGCACGCCGGGAGTTATCCGAGCTGCAGCACGTCGCCAACCGCGACGACATCAAGAAGTGCAGCGCGAGCCACCCAGTCCTTGGAAAGGTCAAAGCGACCACCGGCAGCCGACTCAGCGACGAGGGCCCCATCTTCATCCCGGGAACCGCCGAACCGCCATCGCCGAGGCCACCGGCTCCATATTTATATCAAGATGGGGCTTTCGAGTGGCGAGTCGGGGGCCATCGCGCGCCATCGCCAATCGCCGCGAAAGATACGGAGACCTCGACTGACAACGAGCCCGGCAAACGCCGCGACATCAACTGCCCCCGAAAAACAGCAGA